TAATCCATATCTAAGGTCACAGCTAGGAAATTACAATGGTAACATGAAAGCTTTCTCATTATAAAGGTAAAAATGGCCTTTGATGCTTGGTGTCTTAATGTGGATCATGGCTCAGGAAGCTACCTACCCATTCCTTCCCAGGACGTCCCCAGCATACCTTTACTGGCCTTTTCTCCCTCCATCTCTAACAGCCACAGACCATAATCCGCAGCCTTGCACACATCACTCTTTATGGGTGAACTCTGGGAACATGTGAGGCTCTCCTCTCTATCCAGAATGTTCTGATAAATTCCTACTAATCTCTGAAGTGCCAGATCAAACACTTTGTCTTTTTAAGAAGTTTCCCCCAACTTTCTCAGACTATCAGCCATACTCCCATTTCTAGCTCAACATATGTCCAGCTCTGTGAATATTCCTGTCAGCTTGTGCTAGAATTACTCAAATCCTTACGTTTCCCTAGCCAGTCTACAAGCTCCTTGAGGTGAAGATAATATTACATTCACCTCTATGTCCCCTCAGTGACCAGATTATGCAGATTTTAAATAAACACTGAATAAAAGAAGAAATAAGTGGATCAAGAAACTGATTAATTAATCAGAAAAGGTAGGAAGTTCCATAAAACTAGAAGCCAAGAACTGTGTTCTCTAGTTTTTCCTCAATATAGGTTATATTAGTATTATTTTTAAATATTTATTTAAGTAACCTCAATATCCAATGTGGGGCTCGAACTCATGACCCCGAGATCATAAATGGCATGCTCTTCCAACTAAGCCAGTCAGGCGCCCTCCCTTTTTTCCTTACATATTTATTTTAGTATTATTTTTTAATACAAACTTCTTTCAATTTATACACAGTAATTTTTTTGGCATACAGTTCTAAAGTTTCAACAGATATATCGATTTATGTGACCACCACCACAGTCAGGTTGCCAAATATTTATATCACCCTGAAAAATTCCCTCATGCTTCTTTCTTGGGAAATACTTCCCCCACCCTGGAAATGACTGATCTATTTCTCCATCATTACAGTTTTGCCTTTTCCATATGATCATATAAATGGAATCATACAGTATGTAACCTTTTGAGATTGTCTTATTTTACCCAGTATAATGCCTCTGAAATTCATCTATTTTCTTTTACAGATGTACGACAGCTCGCTTATCCATCCATCCATTCAAGGATATTTAAAGATATTTAGGTTGTTTCCAGTTTTGGGTGATTATTAAGTCTGCTACAGACATTTGTGTACAGGTTTTTGTGTGATTATAACATTTCTCTAGGGTAAATATGCAGGAGTGAGATTGCTGAATCATAAGGTGTGTGTAACTTTATAAGAAATTGCCAAAATGTTTTTCCAGAGTGACTGTACTATTTAGTATCCCCACCAGTAATATATGAGAGTTCCAATAGTTTTTAATCCTTGCCAGCACTTGGTATTACCAGTTTTGTTATTTTAGCAATTCCAATAGGTATTTATGTAATGATATCGCATTATGGTTTTAATTTGCATTTCCCTAATGTCTAATGATGTTGAGCATCATTTCATCTGCTTACTTGTCATTCTTAGATCTTCTCTGATAAGTGATCTGTTCAAACTTTTGCCTATTTTTAAAAAATTGGGTTGTTTCTTATTGCTATGTCTTGAAAGTCCCTTCTATGTTCTGACCATAAGTCCCTTGTTAAATGTGTGATCTGCAAATATTTTCTCCTAGTGTCTTCATTGTGTCTTCAGCAGAGCAAATGTTTTTTAATTTTGATGAAGTCCATTTATCAATTCTTTATTTTGTCAATCTTGCTCTTGATGCCAACCCACGGTTGTGGAGATTTTCTTCTATGTTTTTTCCTATATGTTTTATAATTTTATATTTAACATTTAAGAATATCCATTTTTGAGTTAAATTTGTTTAAGTTGCAAATCATAGGTTGAAGTTCACTTTTCTCCCATATGGCTGCCCAATTTTTTTCAATACCATTTGTTAAAAATTACATCCTTTCTCCACTGAATTTGTTGTCTCCTGCAACTTTGCTCAACCTACTTATTGGTTCTAGGAGTTTTTTATTTTTGTAGATTTCTTGGGATATTCTACATTCACAATTGTGTCAATGAGGATAATAATAGTTTTAATTTTTCCTTTGCAATCTGTATGAAGTGCATTTGCATTTCATTTTTCTTCCTTTATTGCGCAGGCTAGGACTTTCAGCATGATGTTGAATATGTGTGGTGAAGCTAAATAAACATCCCTTCCTTCTTCCTCCTCTTACACGGAAAGTATTCGGTATCTCATCATTAAATATGATGTTAATTGCATGTCTTTTGTAGACATCTTTTGTTAGAGGTTCCCTTCTATTTTTAGTGTATTAAGAGTTTTGTGCTTTAGTTTTTATTCTGTCACTAGCTAGCTGCGTGAATTTGGGCAAATTTTAGTTCAGACTACCATGTCAGAAAAAAAAAGGAAATAAAATACATGCTGTGCCTTTTTGTGATGATTAAAACATGAAGATGTGTGTGTATGTGTGATTTTATAAGTAAGAAAGCTCTTACCACATAGCACAAAAGAAAGGCATCATGCATTTCATTAAGAGACGTAAAATACAATCTCTCCAGGTTAATGCAGTCTTGTTATATGCGTCTTCTAAATAAATGTGAGCCAATCTAAGTTGAGAGAAGATTAACTACTGAGAAACTAATTTTTAAAAACCTAGAAAATGGAACATAACTAATATATACTATACTTTAACCTAAGCGAGGCACATGACATTTATTCCTGTTATAGTCCTGTCTGCTTTCTTTGATTCTTGACAGTAGGCCAGAAACTATTCTATGTGTTTTACATTTTTTAATCTCATAAAATTTTGCAGCAGTCCTGCACCACAGGCCTTATCCAAATTTGGATCAGAATTCTTAAACTTTCATAAAATAGGTTTAAGCTTAATGTAAGAAATTAGCTTAATAAAACAAAACATGGGAGCTGTCCAGCAGTAGAAAAGGATGTGTCTAATTAAGCCTGAAGTCAGGGAACCTGAGGACACACTGTCAGAAGTTTTCAGGGAAGGGATTCCTACACTAGGTAGGAGGTCAGAAAATCCCATCAAGTTTTACCAACTCTAAAATACTAGAGCCAGCCTAGATCACATATAAGGCATAAAAAGGTTGACATGGGAAGCCATGCCAAGGCAGGAATCATACCAAAAACTGGCCTGTGGGTCATCTGAGAGCTACTATCTGCCCACCTGCTGCAGCCCTGGTTTGCTCCTTCATCCCCCTACATCTCACTCTTCCCCTAGTTTCTTTCTCAGCAGTAAGAGTCAGATCATATAATTTTAGATCCAAGCTTTACCACCCTTCTGATCAGTGAATTTGAATATGTGGTATTATTTTCCTAAGTCTTTTTTTTTAAAGATTTATTTATTTATTTTAAAGAGAGAGAGAGAGCACAAGTGGGAAGGGCAGAGGGAAAAGGAGAGAGAGAATCTCAAGCAGACTCCATGCTAAGTGCAGAGCCCGATGCAGGGCTTGATCTCACGACCCTGAGATCAAGACCTGAACCAAAACCAAGAGTTGGACACAGAACTGACTGAGCCACCCAGGTGCCCCTATTTTCCTAAATCTTAAATAGCTCTTCTGTTAAAAAACTTTTTTTTAAGAGTGTGGACCATCCCTCATCCTTGCCTGCTTCAGAGACTTAAATTTATTCAAGGACGAAATAAGACCAATTAAAACACATACACACACACACGCAGAAAAAGAAAGACAAAAATTAAGTATTCAGCAGAATGTCAGACATATAGTAACAAATGTGGCTATCTTCTAAGTCTTTTAAAAATTAAAAAAAAGCAAATGAAATATTCCCCAAAATGCATGTTTCTGGCATGTACCTGTGTTTGGTATCAAAAACAGTAGACTCCTCACGGACAAAGCACATGTAGTTTTACTTAATGTATTCTGAATGATACTCCAACACCCACAGCCAGGTCAAAACTGTACCTATACATTTTGTAATTTCTATAACATCCTTCTCCACTTGGTTAGCCTGTAACTCTCTGATGTGGGCAGGGCAAGGATGAGTACTCTCAGACAATGGAGGAATTTAGCACAGAGATCAGAGGGAGCTTCCCCAGATCCCATCACTAGTGGGTGGCAGAACCCAAGACCCCAACTCACAAACAGGTGGCTGTTCTGCTGCATTCCTCCATCACTACTATTTCCATAGACTTTGGCTCTATTGTTGACTTATGCTAATTATATTTTTATCTATTTCATAGAGATCATATATTTTCAGATATTTTATATATGTTTAAGTTGACTTTCAGCTGATTTTTCCTGGGTAGAGAAGAGCCTTATAATAATATGATCAACTCCGGGAAGAGTAAAATGCTTAAAGCAGTACAAAATGATATGTTATCAGTCAAATTCAGTGTAAGATGTACGCAGGTGCACAATGTACAAAGGGGTCACGTGTTCAAGATCCTGGGATTCTACTGCTTGTTTGTAGGGACAATATAGTTTTGCTCACCACTGTATCTCCAGGGCCTAGAACAATGCCTGGTATACAGTAGTCTGTCCTTACATATTTGTGGAACGAATGAATAAACAGTTTGGAAAAAATTTCCCAGTGACTTTTTTTGGTAAGCTTGACTATATGAAGGGTTCATTTTTAAAGCTGGCAGCCCCTGTAATTTGCTGTGTGAATGCAAAGTACTGTGATGAGCTATGGACACCCCTATCTGAATTACACTGAAGATGCCAGGAAATTACTAACAGGAGCCTCAAAATTCATCACATTAACTCACATCCCCAGAAAATTCATTCCTGAGGGTTTATTTCAATGAAATAGCTCCCTCGGGACCAGAGGCCTCTCCCCCTACTCGGAAATAGGATGGATCTGGCAGTAATGGAGCTCAGGGCTTTTCATCTTCTCAAGCTATTAAAATGCAAATTGGGGGAGGAGAAGAACCTGCTGGCAGATCTCCCCTGGCCTCACCCACGGCCTCAGCACTCACATCCATCGGCGGTCCGCACCTCCATGTGCACCAGGTCCGCTTCCTTATCCAATCCGGCCACCGACCTGGGGAAGGAAGGAGACACAGAAGCTTAGTGACCACATGGACGGCAGACGACAAAAGTGGGAAAGCATTTCAGGGCTATTACTCAGAAAGCCACTTTCTCCAGAGGGGATCCACAGAGTATGGCCACTGGTGAGCCTGGCAGATACAGCTGTCACCTGTAATGCTCACAACTAAGGAGTCCTGGAATGGTACCAGGGAGTCAGTGACTCTCAAAAACAAAACAAAACAAAACAAAAAAAATGACAAAAAAACATGAAAGAGGACAGAGTCTACAGAAATCCAGGTCCAAACCTCTGTCCTTGCCTCTTCTCTACCACCTGGCACCTAAGAAGTTCTCTCTTCCCCACCATCTTCCTTCTTCCCACAACTCCCACCACCCACACCCCCTCCCCTGGGTCTTGCCATGCCTGATTCTTTCCAGCACTTTGCGCCCCTCTGTCCTCCCGCTGGGAGTGTGCTATTCCCCACCTGTCCTGTCCTCTGGGGAGGGTGGTTTAGCCTCGCTCTGGCTGTTTGCTCCAGGGCATTGTTGCCCTTCCGAGTTTGATGCTGTCTGCCCTTCTTTCCTCCTGCCCCAGAAACAATGAACGTCTGATGACAAACATTTAAAATCTGGTCTAACAAGAACAAAATTCTCCTAGGGATCAGGGTGGGAGAGCTTAAAAAGTCTATGGCCAATAGCCAAAAGAAGACAGGCTGAGAATCCTTACAGACTAATTCCTGTGGGCCTCCGACCTTGCGCACGTAAAGCCCAGTCAGCCATCCCCCATGTGAGATATCCAGCCTGGAGGATGACCCAAAAAGTCAGCTAAAAGAGGCAACACAGACATTAAAACATCCATGCACTAGAGAGATCACATAATCCACTCTCTTAGCAAGCTCTTACTCACAGTCTATTTACTTTTATTTTAAATATCATTCTAAGATGGGCTTTCTGGCTTTCCTGTCTTCAGCAGGTAAGAAGTGGCAAGTCAGAAAGAGTAGAATTTAAAAGAATGAGCATCAACAGCTGATACCCAGATAGCAAGAACATAGAAAAACCTATGAAAAACAGACCTAAGAACTCAAAACCCAATCCTCCACACCATAAATCTCTACACTTCTCACTGGCCCTGAGGCCATTACCAAATTAGAGCAGAGTTCAGTATCTGACACCTGTGCCGAGGGGAGGGAGGCAGAGAAAACAGGAAGCATGGGGCAAGAGACATCCCACATCAAAATGGCTAGAAAAGGCTGAGATGCGTTCTGACCATGAACCGACCCATCCAGCATAGTGCCACACAACCAGGAGAGAACCTCCAACTCCCAGCTTCTCACCCAGGAGCAAAGGGTATGGTCTCCACATCTAGAATCTCAACTTTTAAGGCTTGCACTAGAGGGAAGGGCCCCCAAAACACCTAGCTCTGAAAGGCAATGGGGCTTATGTCCACTAGACGATAGCCAACAAAGAAGCAAATCTTCATGGGTGCACAAGCAAACACTGCAGCAATTGCCCTAGGGCTCAGTGCACCTTCTCCCCATCTTTCCCTGAAAGTGGTTTATCTGCATACTTTAAAAGCTGCTGCTTAAGGGCTACGATTCTAATTTAGCAGGCTTCAAGGGGCTGATTGTGATCCTCCCCAGAGACAGAGGAAGCCCACTGACACCTTTTGCATCTTCTCTCTGTAGCCCACTCCAAGTTGTCAGTAGCTCTCTGGAAGGAGTTGTGCACATGACCACACCCCAGCTTTCAGGGCTGCTCCTCAGAGGATGGGTCCCCAGATCACCGGGCTCTGATAACCAACAGGGCTTCACTCATGAGTCCCAGAGGACTGCAGCAAACAAAGAAGCAGTTCTTAACCATCTACTTCCCCAAGGTTCGGTGCAGAGGCAGCAGGCTAAGAACACCCATCTCCGAGTCTTTTTGAAAGGGGTTTATCTGCATACAATAAAGCTACCGCCTGAGGGCCTGGCTTCTAATTTAGCAGATATCTGGGGGCTATCTGTAATCCTCCTCATGGACTGGGGAAGCTGGCAGACACTTCCCCCACCAGCCTGCTCCAATAATAAAATCAAGTCACCAATATCTCCCTGAAAGCAAGTTATACACATATCCGACACCCCAGCTCTTGTAGCTATCACTTGAGGGATGGGTCCCTGGATCACCTGGTGCTAGCAGTCAATGGGCCTTGCATTAATGAGGCAGTAGCAAGACTGCAGCGAGCAAAGAAACAGTTATTAATGGGCACAAGAGCACCCCCACCCCCCGACAGCTACCCACCTGGGCCCAGGACTGAGGGAACTGGCAAAAAAAGTTTCTCCCTGAAAGCTTAACTACATATTTTCCCAGCTTGTACCTGAGGATACAGCTTCTCATCAGCCTGTATCTAGACGCTGACTGCAATCCTCACTGACAGGTCTTGGGACATTCATAACTACTAAAAGCCACCAAGAACAAAGAAAGACACCTGGACAATCACCAATGACAGAGTTGAGAGACAGCTAAGAACTCAGTCAGGCTGGTCTACGAGGTTCTTCTCCTATATGAGATCACTCTGTCAAGACTGAAAGGGGTGGCTATTTAACTAATGTTCAGAAACCAACACGAAGAGTCAAGGAAAGTGGAAAATAAACAAACAAAACAACACAGAAAAAATATGTTCCAAACAGAAGAACAAGATAGATCTCTAGGAACTGATCTTAAAGAAATGGAGGTAATAATCTACCTGATAAAGAGTTCAAAATAATGGTCATAAAGATGCTTAACTGAGGTCAGAAGAACAATGCATGAGAACAATGAGAATTTCAACAGAGATAGAAATATTAAAAAGTACCAAACAGAAATCATGGATCTGAAGAGGACAATAATTGAACTGAAAAATTCAATAGAGGGGTTCAATAACAGACTAGATCAAGTGGGAGAAAGAATCAGTGAACTCTAAGATGGAAGTGGAATTCCTCCAGAGGAGTGAAAGAAAAAAGAATAAAAAACGAGTGAAGATAGTTTAAGGGATTTACGGGAAAACATCAAGTGGACTAATATTCTCATTGTAGGGGTCCCAGAAGAAGAGAGAAAGGACAGAAAACTTATTTGAAGAAATAATGGCTGAAAACTTCCCTAACTTGGGGAAGGTAACAGACACCCAGACTCAACAAGCCTGGAGAGTTCCAAAAAAGATGAGTCCAAAGAGAACCACATAAGACACATTATTATTAAATTATCAAAAGTTAAATACGAGTAGAAAATCTTAAAAACAGCAAGAGAAAAACCACTTGTTATATACAACAGAATCCCCATAAGATTATCAGCAGGTTTTTCAGCAGCAACTTAACAGGCCAGAAGGGTGTGGGATGATATATGCAAGTACTAAACAAACAAACAAAACCCTGCTAATCAACCAAGAATACTCTACCCAGCAAAACCGTGCTTCAGAAGTGATGGAGAGATAAAGAGTTTTCTAGACAAACAAAAGCTAAAGGAGGTCATCACATAGATCAGTCTTACAAGAAATGTTAAAGAAAGTTCTTCAAGCTGAAACAAAACAATGCTAATTAGTAACAGTAACATCTTCTAGGATGTTTCTGGAAAAATTAACATCTAAATCAGCAGACTGAGTAAAACAGATTGTCCTTCCAATGTGGGTGGGCCTCCTCCAATCTGCTGGAGGCCTGAATGGCACAAAAGAAGGAGTGAAGGAGAATTCACTTACTCTACCTAATATTTTCTAGCTGGGAAATTGGTCTTCTCCTGCACTCAGATAGGAATTTACAGCATCGATGCTCCTAATTCTTAGGCCTTCAGACTCATACTAGAACTACACCACTAACCGTTGAATCTCCACTTGCAGATGGCGAACTCTGGGCCTTCTCAGCCTCCATAATCACATGAGCCAATTCCTCCTAATAAATCTCTCTCTCTCCCAGTCTCCTCCCCCACCCTCCTATTGGTCTGTTTGCATATGCTATTGTCTCTTCCATATCCCACTGGTCTGTTCCTCTGGAGAGCCCTGATCTTCGTCCCATTCTAACATTACAGCCTGTTTATCCATGTAAGCCCATAGCATACTTGTGTGAGTGTGTTTCTGTATTTGCTTAAGCCATGAATTACAAAGAGAATGATTCTTACTAACATACAACCTATCAGACAGTGAGTTTCCTAAGGACAGAGACTCTAATTATCTTTCTCTAATATTTACTACTACACACAGTTCAAGATTAGGTGTACCTTCAGATTAAATGATAGGGATAAGAAATTTGTACTTCAAAGCTGCTCTGTCTCTGGATCCACAGGAGAAGAGATTAAGTGGCTCAACTGGCCAGAGGTAGAGCAGGGGAACTTGGGTGCTCCTGCCCTTTTCCAGCACATAGGAGAAGGCCACTGCCTACTTTCAGCCATAGTGCTGACATTAGCCTGGGCTTTCTCAACACTGACACTGCTGACATTTTGGCCTTGATAATTCTTTGTTGTGGGGGCCATCCTATACATTGCAAGATATTTAGCAGAATCCCTGACCTTTACTAGATGCAGTAGCATCCCTGCAGGCCTGACAACCAGAACTGTCTCTAGATGTTGCCTACTATCCCCTGGGGTCAAAACTGCCCCCAGTTGAGAACCAGTGCATACCTGGACACACTTAATTGATGCCTGGACTCTATGTCTCCCCTCCTAACAAGGCAGCAAAAATAAGCACACACAGATTTCACCTCCTCCCTTAGTCCTAACACTGCTGAGATGCCCACGAACTACTGCTATTCAGGGCCATACCACCTCATCAGGAAACTCTCTGACAATCGTCAGGTTCCTAATCTTAAAGCCTCCCAAAGCCCCCACTTTTAAAAATCTAATGTAAGAAAGTGCACACAGATACAGCAAGCAAAGAAATATGAGATGTAGATATTTTGTGATTTTTCTGAGGGTAGGCAGAAGTTGTAAGGGATAAACCTGTGGAAATTTTGGGGAAAGCGCATACGGTAATAAGGATAAATGTTAATGGGCATTGAGACCATTCATATGTCAGGT